TGATATCACGAACAGGGGTTACAAAAAAAAGAGAAAGATAAAAAAAAAGGAATTAGCTTGAAATTGTAACGTATATCGTCCGCATATTGCGTCCGTGCGATTTAACCGGAGAACGATGAATTTTTACTCGTAATATATGGCGAATACACAACACCAAGCGTAAATATGGTTATTTTGAAAAACGTAGTACGAATAATTGTCTCGTTCCACGTCCCAAAGGCATTGAAAACCCGCGTGTAAACTTTGATCGAAACGTTGAACTATCGTCGCCTGCACCACTAGCTTGTACCTTGTAAACAAGAGAGAACAAACGAGTTACCAAATCCACCATCAATTATCAATAATAATTAATTTCTTAACAAAACGACGCGCGTTTATCACGCTCTCGTATAGAAAAAAAGGGAGGAAGGATGATTTTACGAAGAAATTTACAAGAGAGAGAGAGAAAGAGAATCGTTTGGCATTCACGAATTAGAACGTTACTACCTATCGTAATTCTTTTTGAGGAGCGCGTTTTGCAACTCGTTGTCGATCTCGCAGCACAATTTGGCCATCATGTTTGGATGATAGGACGTCACCGTCGACAATTTACTCTCCATCGTATCCCTCACCATGTTATCGACCACCTCTATGTTGAAGGGATTAAACGATTCGAGTCGATAGGTATTCTGATACTTGGGAATCTGAGCATATTTCATCGAAACATATCGATGTCAATTAATCACTCGTATCACTTGTCACTCGTTTCGATTTTCAAGGAATAGACTTCGTAGACGTTAGCTCGATATCCTCTTTCTTAACCTTAATACCTTTTACGTACCTTCATCCGATCTGCACGTTTATGGAAAAACACTCGACTCACCGAATTCGTACCAGAATTCTTCGAACCTAACCTCTTTTTACCCTGAAGAAGAGAATATATAAACGTTATTAAATCGACGATGAACAATCCTCACTGATTGATAATCCTTATCGGGGCTCATCCTCTCGATTTACCTCGTTAAATTGCACACCTCTTAAACTAACAGGTTTTTGCAAATTAGGATTTGAAACTTTTAAACTTTTCGCGGAGCGAATTTCCGTATTGGTTTGCTTCCCTTGTTGTTGACTCATCGTTGAAAAATATGATTTAAAAACGCGAGATTCGAGATTACAAAAAATTGATCTCAAAAGAAATTATATGTATATATTATATAAGATAAGGTTAGATACCTTAGTAGTTGTATCGTCGTGAACGAAACTAGAGAGAAACGATATTCGACCATTTGTTTCGGAGATTGTCACGTTCGCCACGCGCCACTTTTGGCGCTTCGCTATTCGTTTGCTTTTTCCGATTCGATTCGTTGATCCGTCGTATCACGGATATATATATATCTATAGTAAATATAATTTTCTACAGTTTCGAACTGTAGATGCGATTCACGTTTCGAGGAAAGATGGTTCTCGATCGAAAAAAATTGGAATAAAAGAGATGGAGATTCGCGTTCGTATTGTACGGGACAAAGCAAACAATACGCCGCACAACTCTTAATTTATATTGAATGTAAGAAGCTTAGCGAGGAAAGGAGACGTCGAAAGCAAGTCTTCGAGAAATCACCATCTATTTATATTCTATTTCAATTTTCCTCGTCTTATGCTTTTTAAACAAGGATTATCGAGATGACGAGCCAGAGAAAAAACGAGAAATATTCTTTGTCTCTCTCCATTCGCTTTTCTTTTCTTTTTCTTCTATATAGTATATATATATATATATAAAATATACGATATTACGATGATCGTTTCCGAGAATTACTTCTCTCTTCAATTGCGATTTCCGACCGACCGACCAATTACTTATTCCAAAATAATATCACCGCCTGTCGAATACGAAAAGCAAAGAGGAAAAGCATCGAAGAGAGCAACTACGTAGAATAGGATGAGAATTACTATCGGAGCGTAATAAATTCGCGATCGACGCGAATCTTGAAATAAAAAAAAAAAAAAAAAAAAAAAAAAAGAAAAGTTGGAAATTACACTGATTGATCTTAACTCTTCGCAAAACGAATCGAAAAAAAGAAAGAAACTCTTTTTTTTCTCTTCGAAGCGATGGTAATTTCGTAGCTAAGAAAAGCGAGAGAGAGTCGTTACGATGCATCGCCGATTAATCGTGAAAATTATTCGAGACTGAAAGGAAAGATAGGTACACAGCCTCTATCTTTCTTAAAGGGAAACCTGTCGATTCGAAAATCCTTGGGAACGAGACGAAGCCGTGAACTTCGATTTTTCATCGGAGGTAAAATTCATAGTTGATTTATGCCAACGGGACGATCTCTTACGGAAAGAAGGGGGCTCGTAAGAGCCGAGCGATTCCTCTCGATAAAAACCGATATTTGCGTGTACGCTGCGTCCCTCGTATAATTCAACTTGTATTCCTTCCTCGCTGTTACGTGACACCCATCGTTGATCCCATTCCCAATGAAAACTATAGAATTGTCGACAATGGAGACGGAAAGGGGAGGG